ATGTTGGAAAACACGCCTAAAATCGGGCGACATCTGATCTAATATCTGCTAAATTGGACAGCTCCATCTGTAATCGTTCGCGCAGAGACGGCCGTTTCCTGAGACACCTCAGAATCGGATTTTCTTGATATTTGGAAATGGAAACGCATAAAGACGTAGGTTATCGATCCGTGCTTAGTCTCACAGAAGTAGTTGTGTTTCGAAAAAGTTCAAAAACCTAGTGAAAATCTGTATTAGGTGGAAAAAACCATTTCTGCCTATTTTCGCATAAAATTGGGAAATTCATAACTCAGTCAGAACTGATCCAGGCTACCTCAGAATATAAAGATACACTTAATTTTATCTGCAGCATATCATGGAGCTCGATAGAGCTGTTATAAATCAACATAAAATACTTGGATTTTTCAAGAGGTTTTCTAGAAATGTTCCGACATGATGGAATATTTTAGACCACTCTGACGATCAGTAACTTCCGTTAAAAAGTTATAAAAGGACTGATCATGGCCACTTCATTCGAATAGATAATATTCATAAAATGACTTAATGAGAAGACAGAAGAAAGGATAAAAAAGGTTAGAAATTACCTTCATAATATACAGTTGTTAGAGTTTTATCTTCAACCTGAGGAAACTACGGTCATGGATTTATTTCACAAATCGTAGTGCATCTGTCGCTGATAACATTTCTTTGAACGTAAAGGGGACAGTTATGAGGCAAGAAAAATCAGTGGTTTTACTTGGCGTGCGATTAAGTGAGGATCTCACGTGGAGAGAGCATGTTGACGAGTTAGTTCTCGGATGCAGAAGGCGTCTTGAAGCAATGTTTCGTACGTGCAGGGAAGCTCCAGTTGGCATCCGGTTATCTATTTTTCGAGCTTGTATTCTTAGCAAACTCGATTACTCGATTGTTGTCTCGTCTACGATAGCGATTGTTATGCCAAAACTCTTGACAAAATTTTGAAATTAGTCGCAAGAATGGTTTTCAAAAAATTCGACAGATCGGTGTCAGAGTTAATTCAAAAACTAAAGCTCCCCTCCCCGATTTGTTGTTGAGAAGACAATATTTTCGTTTATTCATTTCTATAAAGTAATGAACAAACTATCTTCGCTTTCAGTTTTTGATCCGCCCTTTATAACACCACCGACGGATCGTAGAACAGAGCGTCTGAATACAAGTATGGTTTTAAAAGGCGTAAGGACAAACATGAAGCCAGTCAAGACACCGAGTCTTACAAAAAAACGGGTAGCATTAGCTTTTTTCTATCAGACTGCCGAAGATTGGAACGCTTTACCAGAAACGGTTGTTGCAGCACGTACTCTCGGTCAGTTCAAAGCAACGCTGAAATATCATTTGCAAATTTGAGGCGTTTTCTGGTGTTTTATTTTCTGATTTTGTTTCTGTTTATTTCTGCACTCTATTCTGTAAGAGTGAATCTATAGATATAGGCGTGTATTCCCTCTCTGGTGGTGTTGTTATTCCAGGTGGCAGTGTGTATAAGTATGTTTAACTTTTCTGCTTTCCTACAGCAGCTCTTTCTTTGTAAAATAAAATCAAGTTCAAGTCATCAAGTTACTGCTGTTTGTGTGGTAGATGTCATGTACTAAACAAACATATTTTTCTAGTGAACTGAAAAGAATTCCGTTCAGCGTCTGTTCTAGTGCTAAAACTCAATTTTAGAAACAGCATTAAATTCTCTACAAACTTACATCAGTGTTGGTCTGTACTAACATCGTTTGCGCCATGAATGAAACAGATTTTCTCGATGTTTTATCTTTCTGATGCAAAGCAGTATTTTTTACTAAAACAGAGTTTTATATACGCTGTTATTACTATCAACGATTTTTGAAAGTAAGGAGTTTATAGAGTTTTGCGCGGCATTCTCACCCATTTGGTTTTCAAAAAAAGTTTTCTCTTTCAGGTTATATTGAAGAAATAAAGAAAAAGGCATTTTACAAGAGCACTTTTGGCGATGCTTGAGATTCAAGTTGTTTCTCACTCAAATTCAATCACATAAAACATATAACCGGAACAAAAAAAAATAAAGTTGGTTTTGAGTTGCTGAAAAGTGTTTTTTCGTGTTCAGCACACTCGATAACCCCGAAGATTTTCTATTTTTGGCGAGGAATACTTTCAAAAGTATAGAAAAAATTTTCAAACTAATATTACTTTCCCATGGAAATTTTTCCTATACTTTCGAAAGCACTTCTCGCCAAACATAGAAAATCTTCGGGGTTATCGAGTGTGCTGAACACGAAAAAACACTTTTCAGCAACTCAAAACCAACTTTATTTTTTTTCCGGTGATATAGGTTTGATTTTCTATGCCGTTTGAAGTCTCAGATTTTGCTCTTTCCAGCGGAAAAATAACTAACTTTTTAGCAAACCAGGAACATGTAGAAATGATGCTCAGCATTTGTCCAATTACTTCCGAATCGTGGGTTATATCAAACTGTAGCTTTTTTCTAATCTACCTAACTGATTATTTAATAATGCTTCTACCAGTTGGTAATCACAGGTTTCTGATTAGGTAGTTTTAATTTAAGAACAAGACTGGTCTATTTGAGCAATATCCTAGAGAATCTCCAATGTGTCTGGTCTTGAAAACAGAGTGAAGATTTATTTACTTACAGGTGTCTGTTTCCTGTTTTTTTTTCTTGTTTTGGTCAGCAGATCAGAACAAGAAAGTGATAAGACCAGACCAAGAGGATCTGTTTTTTCTATTGATCCGACAAACAGTAAATCTTGGTCTGGTCTTGTAAATTTTGAGGAACAAACACTGGCCAGGTTCAAGACCAAACCTAAGTTTTTTTTCATAATTACCGTTTTGTTTTGCCAAATCAAGTGGTATATAGCAACTACTAGTTCATCGAAAAGTTCAGACTTTGTTATAGGTAATGACTAATGTCTTAGAGACCTTTGTGCTGAGTAAGAGATAGTTAACGACATTCCGAGTCTGATGGTCACACTGGAAGGTCTCCAGAAAACTTTCTGAGTTTCTACTGATTTTTGTACAGTATGAATGATTAGTGAGCAGCACACCTAATTTTTACGTATATACAACAAGCTCGCGGTTTTGATTTCTTTCATCGATCAGGAGAAAACAGGTTCTGACCAGGAAACAGGCAAGGACTTTTTTATTTACATGTATCTGATCAGTGGTCTGATCGAACAAACTGGACATTCTCTATGATAGTCTTTCATCAATACTTTTGCTAATTTTTGTACTTTGTCTAACAGCATTATGTGTGGGATATAGTCGTTATCGAAAACAATAGAACAACAGTCAAGAACCTGTTCAAAACTCAGTTCTAAATATACCGTTAGAAACGGTGTGAAAAACTGTGCCAGTATACCAGAAACAATTATTAAACAGAAAAATAGACTATTCCTTCTGCTATTTTACCTGTTTTTCTAACTGCTTCAGTCATCATCTCTGGGTGACATATATTATATTTTGCATTTGATCTCTGGTCTAAAATTCTTTTGGCATAACAGAATTAAATATGACAAAATTCTGCACAAAATGAGCTATTTTTCTGCTTAAAAAAGTTGAACAACAACTGAGTTACACGTATTATTTCTCATAAAAAATCGATACATACTTAGATAAAAATACAAGGCCATGGTCTTCTAATCTGCTTTTAAAAGATTAGCCTCAGATTGGCCTTATATTTAGGGTGATCCTCTAATATAGAACGGCCCTCTATTCTGGAAGTGGGTTATTTAAAAGACCACATAGAAAATAGATACAATTTATATGTTTTTGTAATAATTATGTAAATTTTTATTTCTTCAATCTTATCGTTTTTATTTCGAAAGGTGACTTTCCAGTAGTCTTCTTTTCTTCATATAAATACTTTTATACTAGAGTTTGCACAGGCCAGCCACATGTGTTTAATTTTAAGAGCAACAGTGAACGAAATAAGGCATTTTGAAGCATCCACCATAACTGTGTTAGAATTCTAGATTTTAAATCACTGTCTATTTTATTTACCATACTTATTTTTTACAGTTGTTTTTTCCATTAACAATGTTCGAAAATCGCAGGACAATTTTTTTCCATATGACGATGATATATTTTTTATAAAGCCTTCTAGAGGGGAACCATGGCCTCATCCACAACAAATAAACACCACTCAACAACATTTATCTGTTCACCCAGATACATTTCAGTTTTTAATCAATGACTCTAGCCAACACTGTGATTTACTAAGAAATGCATTTGATCGATATTATCGATTGATATTTTTTTCACAAAATCATGTCAGATTTATTCTAAATAAACCATTGTATGAGAATCAATCTATCATTGATTTTCCAAAATCATTGAATGCACCTTTATTAAAACGCCTGAATGTTAACGTACGACAACCTAGCGATCAATGGCCAAATTTAGAATCAGATGAATCATGTACGATGATTGTGCTTTAGTATTCGCGTAATGTGTAGAATAAAGTCAATTTTTGTTTCTTGTTTCGAAGATTCACTGATTATTAAAGATAGACACAGTATCTTGGACGCTTTAACAATATGGGGAGCATTACGGGGTCTAGAAACATTTAGTCAACTGATTTATCCTGACGATGATTTATTAGTGAGTTAGGATAAAGTTTATTTAACGGAATTTGTTGATACCATTTTTTATAGTTCGCCATCAATGAGACATCAGTTACCGATTTTCCACGTTTCCAGCATCGAGGTTTATTGTTGGATACGTCAACTCATTTTATATCGGTGGATATACTTAAAATGAATTTAGTAAGACGAAATTTTAAAATTTTATGTAAATTTGTAGATGTAAAATTTTCCTAGGAAGCAATGGCTCATAGTAAAATGAATGTATTTCATTGGCATATAGTTGACGATCAGTCATTTCCATATGATAGTCGTATCTATCCAGAAATGAGTAAAAAAGTTAGTATTCATTTTGTTAAATAATTTGTTGTAACAAAATGTTTTCTCTTATATTAGGGCGCATATGACGAAACACATACATACTCGCAAGGTGATATAGCCGATATACTTGAGTTTGCACGACAGCGAGGTATTCGAGTTATGGCTGAATTTGACTCACCTGGTATGTAATAATCAATAAGAACTACCACAATAGTTTTGAATTGCTTTACTGCTTTGAGGACACACACGTTCGTGGGGTCGAGCACTAGATACATTGACAAAATGTTATAATGGTGGTCAACCAAATCGTAAATACGGTCCCATGAGTAAATATTATAACATGAAACGATAACGGAAAAATGCAGAAAGCAGTTCTTATATGGATAAACAGAATTCTGTTTAAGCAGACAAATTTACTTTTCGGTTTTCTGAAAAAAGTAAATCTAACCTTACCGTACTATATGTTTATAAACGATTAAAGTTGTACAATATTACTGTTGTAGAGCGAAGATTAACAGCAGCCATCGAAACTTATATGCATATTAAGCTTATCGTACGTAAACAAAAATAATTTTGACAACTACTTTTATATATAGAATAATATGAAGTAAACAGAGTGCTTTGATTTTGCTTTTTCAATTTGCGGGCTACAGTTATAGCTTATTAAGAAATGTTTTAATTTCTTTTCAGAGTTTTTGAAAAACTGGTTTTCCACAAAAGCGATGTTTGAAGGTCCCCTGGCAGCCACCACTATGATATTCGGATTCAGCATAGCTGATAATCTACAACCTACTAGGTTTGACTGAAAAAGCTATGTGGCAGTTTGCGAGGTCCTCTCGTCAGATGCCTGTTGACCTTTTCACTGAAACTTGAGAGATTATTTAATTTTATTGCTCATTGTGGTAACTGGTTATCATTTTAGTTTAATCGACATAGTAGGTTCAACAGGCAAAGGTTATGTTGTATGGCAAGAGATTATAGATAATAATGTTACGGTACGTGATACCTTACAAATTCATTTATTTGATGAAAGCATTTTGTATTCAGGTAAAAGCTGATACAATAGTTGAAGTGTGGAAAGATCCATATCCAGAAGAAATGGCTCGTGTTACTAAACTCGGTTATCGTACGCTGCTATCAACATGTTGGTATTTAAATCTTATATCATACGGCTCTGATTGGGTAAGTCTGGTTTTTCTAAAAGAGGTCAGACATCATGAATTCTTCCGATATTTTAGGTCCACTATTATAAATGTGATCCGTACAATTTCAACAGTAATAGCTTGGGAGCAACAAAAGAAAAAGAGACTTCCATTGACCCGTCATACGTTCGTTAGCTTTTGAGGATTGTAGAAAAGTTTCACTCGTAATCTATAGCGCGGTCATCTAATACTTAAGGAGAAAATTCTTTTACTATTATTAAAGAATAGCTTCAATAATATATAACAATTCTATATTCTTGTAATTTTTAGATACAGATGCACAATTTAAATTGGTAATCGGTGGAGAAGCACATTCTAGACGGCCACTAGGAATCGCTAGGCGTTCACTTTCAGTATATCATTCACATACTGTTTTTACAGTGTACGTTGTGTAGAAACGTACAGTGTAGAAATTATAAAAGTAGGTCGTTCTGTGATTTCCAAATATATTTTGTATACAAAAACGGTAAATACACGTAGAATTTGATAGGAAACGCTGTCAGAATCCACGACAGTTAGATCTTCATCGAAGCTTTTTGCAGGCTTTTCGAGTGGTTTTCTCTGCAATTAAAATTCCAACGCGTTGATAATGAATTTAAACTGTGACGTGAACTCGAACTGGGACGTCTGAGAAGCGAAAATGATAAAATGACACAATTATTCGACTATTTGTTCGCATCATCGTATGAGCAAAAACTTGATCGTGAACTGATTGAAATACTCCAGTATCGTCCAGAACAAAATAACACAAAATAAGAAGCGCCATCATTGCTCAGAATTCACTACCCATCAAGTGGAGATGGCTTACGGTACCACTGATACAACTGGCCATTCAAGTATGCCTAGTGGAAAACAAAAACTGAAAATGATGTGGAAATTTGTTTGCTCATTATCCGAAAGACTCATGGTCTCAAGCTATTGCATTGATATATAAAAGAAGCATGTACTTTTCATGAAATATATACTTTTGATGCCGTCACTATCTCATCATGCCTTCCTGGGACACTATTGTTTATACTACATCGCGCTTTTCTGTAATGTTACCTTGTGTATTGTATCTTGCATATCTTTCTCAACTATATAATACACAAGCTTGTATTTGTACGGAGAGGGTGCTTTTGCTTTCTCAATAAACCATTTGTACACACAAGTGAAGATTCAAACAAGTTAAGGGGAGGCTAACAATTGATGCACCAGCCGGCTTTGGTAGAAAAAACACAGCACTATCAAAGACGAACTCTAGTGTTATTATTAATTGGAAGCAAGTCACAATGAAACAATAGCGCTCTAATCAACAACAATGTTATTATTATCCGCAACCGCGGAAAAAACAATCAACATCACAATGTCAGTATCGACCTGCTAGTTGATAACCTCTTTGGTCTTGGATCCAAGAGACATGGAATAATAACAAGTTACTCCAACAATTGGAAGGAACGGTTGAAGAAGAATGGGATAATGAATCACAACTGGAAACGTTAATCAGAAATAAAGTAGCGAGGAAAACGTTCTTTTTCTTTTACGTATTAAATATCTGTATCATATAAAGACTGATGATGTAATGAGATATATATCTTTTTAACCTTGAGTTGAACAATATAAAATGAACGTAAAGAAGGTGGAAACTTGAATCCATTGGGCTTGAGAAAAAAATTGTGAATTACCTGGAATTAATTATTCGTACAAACTGAGACGTCTGTACTACAATTTGTTTCCCTAAATTCTCTGAAATACAAATAACGTTTATCATACTGATTCACTCTCTCCCTTGACTGCAAGGTGTTATAATTGCAGTAGATAAAACTAAATTTTACTAAGACACGAAAAGATTTTATGATACCACTATCTTTGACATTAGAGCAACATTTTTTTTCCTATTTTACTTTTTGTCGCCCTCATAATTGGCTAATCTTCAATGATCATTCAGGTGAAACGATGAGTAGCTTCTTCTTCTTCTTCTTCTTATATATTACAATGTGCTTGTTTTATTATTACCTTCATCTCTTACGTGTGAGTTAAACAAAAAAAGCGCGTGCAACTAAAAATGACACAAGAAGAATTAGATGCAACAAATTTACAAATAAATAAAGTTACCAATGAGAGTCTGGAAGCGACTCGCCGGATGTTAAACCACACCTCGGAAACACAAGAAATCGGCGTTAAGACACTAACGAAATTGGCCGAACAGGAAGAACAGTTGGACAATATCCATTTAGGACTGAAACGGCTGAGTGGTGAAATGACAAAAGCAGAAGACAATATGAGTCAATTGGAAAAATGTTGTGGTTTATG